TCACAATTGTGAATTGTGCTACTATCTTGTGAATTGTGCATGTGCAAGTATGTTTTTCCTATAATGACTTCTTTTTCTCTGGATGGATACCCAGTAGCACAACTGGTGGATCAAATGGTAGTTCTATTTTTAGTTCTTTAAGGATTCTCCACACTGTTTTCCATAGTGGTTGTATTAGTTTACATTCCCACCTGCAGTTAAAAGTGTTCCTTTTTCCACCACATCCACAGCAACAGCTATTATTTTTTGATCATGGCCATTCTTGTAGGAGTAAGGTGGTATTGCTTGTGGTTTTGATTTGCATTTCCCTGATTATTAGTGATGTTGAGATTTTTTTCATAGGTTTTTTGGCCATTTGTATATCTTCTTTTGAGAATTGTCTATTCATGTCATGAGCCCACTTTTTGATGGGATTGTTTTTTTCTTGCTGATTTGAGTTCCTTGTAGATTCTGGATAGATGTATAGATCCTTTGTCAGATATATACATTGCTAAGATTTTCTCCCACTCTGGAGGTTGTCTGTTTAGTATGCTGACTGTTCCTTTTTCCATGCAAAAGCTCTTTAGTTTAAGTCTCACCTATTTATCTTTGTTTTTGTTACGTTTGCTTTTGGGTTCTTGGTCATGAAGTCTTTGCCTAAGCCAATGTCTAGAAGGGTTTTTCCCAATGTTATCTTCTAGAATCTTTATGGTTTCAGGTCTTAAAGTCTTTGATCCATCTTGAGTTGATATTTCTATAAGGTGAGAGATGAAGATCCAGTTTAATTCTTCTGTGTTTTGCCAATTATCTCAGCACCATTTGTTGAGTAGTGTCCTTTCCTCACTTTGTTTTTGTTTGCATTGTCGAAGATCAGTTGGCTGTAAGTATTTGGCTTCATTTCTAGGTTCTCTATTCTGTTCCACTGGTCTATGTGCCTATTTTTATACAAGTACCATGCTGTTTTGGTGACTATGGCCTTATAGTTTGAAGTCAGGTAATATGATGCTTCCAGATTTGTTCTTTTTGCTTAGTCTTGCTTTGGCTATGTGGGTTCTTTTTTGGTTTTATATGAATTTTAGGATTGCTTTTTCTACTTCTGTGAAGAATGATGGTGATGTTTTGATGGGAACTGCTTTGAATTTGTAGATTGCTTTTAGTAGTATGGTCATTTTCACAATATTGATTCTGCCCATCCTTGAGCATGGGATGTGTTTCCATTACTTTGTGTTGTCTATGATTTCTTTCACCAGTGTTTTGTAGTTTTCCTTGTAGAGGTCTTTCACTTCCTTGGTTAGGTGTACTCCTAAGTATTTTATATTTTTTTGTAGCTATTGTAAAAGGGGTTGAGTTTTTGATTGGATTCTCAGCTTGGTTGCTGTTGGTGTATAGCAGAGCTACTGATTGGTGTACATTAATTTTGTATCCTAAAACTTGCTGAATTAATTTATCAATTCCAGTAACTTTTTGGAGGAATCTTTAGGGTTTTCTAGGCCTATGATCATATCATCAACAAACAGTAAGTTTGACTTTCTCTTGACCAATTTGGATGCCCTTTCCTTCTCTTGTCTGATTGCTCTGCCTAGGGCCATTTCCTTAATAAATGGCCTTTTATTGATACTGATACCACTTAATGATATTATCTTGTTGCACTGGGGCCCATAGTTTCTGGTGGTTCCTTCTTTCATTTCACTATCATATCTCCAGAGATAGATTCACCTTCTAAAATGCCCCCTTTCTCTTCCAGAAGTGCTTTCCAAAGCTGCCACCTCTGGTCCTAATCTGTCTTTCAATCCCCTTCCTTTTACTTCCCCTGTAGCTAATGCTCTGGTCCACCAGCCCTCAGATCAGTTCTCAGTATTTTCCCACTCAGAGTGGCCCTTCTCCTTCTGTGGGAACCTTAGTTGATATTATTTGTGTTCTGCCATCACTAGAATGCTGCCACACTCTCCTCTTATGCTTAATCCTTACCTTGCCTCCCCATCTGGTGTGGGCTTCTGAGCTGATGTGTATTTCCCCCTTTTACACATAATGCATGTAGAATTTTGTCTCCTAGTTATGTTGTAGGAAAGGGTTATTTCTTGTACTATTAGGACCCAGAATAGTAATAATACCTCCATAAATACGTATAATTTTTGTCAACTAAAAATATAAAACACAAATATTTTTACCTTTTAGGTAGGATTGTTCTAGCTATCCTTTTGCTATTGATTTCTAATTTTGTTGCATTTTGCTTAGAGAAATATATATTGTAAGACTTCAATTCTTTGGAAATTGAGACTTCCTCTATGGCTGAATACATAGTTGATTTTTTCTTTCCATGTTCCATGTGCATCCCATATTCATTTTAGCAATCATGTTAAGAAAATCTAGACTTTTTCTTACATTTTTGATCTGCCACTGACAGTGAAAAGCTATTACTAAAATGGATGCAGCCATAGTATTTTTCCATAGTTCTGTCAGTTGTTGCTTCATGTATTTTGAGGCTATACTGTTTGGTGTTACATAAGTTTACATGCATATATCTTTAACTTGTTCTTCCCTCTAACAGCATAGAATATCCTTCTTTGTTGTCTTTTTTGACCTGGAGCTCTATTTTGTCTGATATTAAAATTGTTACCCTGTCTTAATCTTTACATAGTCAATATGCCTTTGCTTTATAGCTGTCTTTCCTCTCTTTGTTAGTAAAGTCTTCCCAACCTTAGGTTGTATGTACAGTGTCTTACATTTTCTTCTAAAATTTCTTTTTTTTCCACCAACCTGATGAACAAAATTAAAAAACACGTTAAAAATTTCTCTTATTTTCATTGTTGTTAATGATGACATGTGTACCTATGACAAAACATTTGCACCAAATCAAGCTGCATTTTAATGACATATATCCTTGAATTTTTAAAAAACTTCCTTATGCTTCAGTTCCTTACCAGTGATTCCTGAGAGCTTTCTGAGTTCCAGCCTCTGCTACTTCACTATAAAAAGATACAAGAAGCAAAGATACAAAAATTAGCTTGCTGTTTCCTCAGTTTCATAATGGCTAAGAGTGCTCCTGTCATGTTAAATTAAGACAAATCTTAACACAAAGGAACGTTTTGGGAAGGCCACTGGAGCTGTCACAGATGCTGGTATCTCAAGAAGTGGCTGTCTCACCAAGAAAAGAAACAGTAAACAGAAAGGAAAAAAAACAGCAAAGGGGAAGGAAAAAAATGTGATTTGACTAGCTAAAAATAAGTAGGAGAACAGACAGATGGGAGGAGATGTTCAGTTGAATATAGATGTGAACAAATTAGATAGTAGGAATATAAAAATCAAGATGTTAAATTTTATTTAAAAAGAAAAATGGTGCGCAGTGAAGACAGAGGGAATGCCGTTTTAGGGATGAAAAAAGTGAATCTCAATAGAGTGAGAAGAGACAAAAAGCAGAAAAGTCAAACAGCATCTACCTCAGAAAAGAGGTCATGATCGAAGTCTAAGAGTACCAGATTGCACTTCCAAAAGCCTGAAGGGAAAACATAGCTTGATATATTAGCGAATGTCATATGGAAAATGAAAGGGCAAGAACAAGAGGTATAAGAATACCAGTAATATGGGCCCAATTTTCCAGGCGGTCAGGCTGGAAGGTGCAGTCCACTGGTGGCACTTTGAAATGGAAGCGAAAATTCTCCCTTGTAAGATAAAAGAGATTAGGATGAGGAGATGTTTTCTAATTCTATATTTTTAGTTTTCAAAACACTTGTTTCTCTTGCTTTGATATTTTCTATTTCTGGTTGACCTGGAGGTTGTTTTTGTTCTGAACAAAGGGGATGTAAATCTGTGTTTGCTCCCATTCATGGATTTAATTAGGCATGTTGCCCAATCTCTAATAAATCACGGGTTTAGTTTTTCTTTGTTAAGGTAGTCAGAGGCATGAGTGACTTATTAAAATGTACACTGATTGTTGGGGATGAATTATCATCCTGATATTGTCAATCACTCGATTATTTTTTATCCCAAAAGCTCTCTCCTGGTTGTTTTGTCCTACACAAAGATGACATTTTATTTTCATATTTGTTCACAGACATGATTCACATTTTTCTACCTAGTGCATAAGGAAATCATTCTACATTCAGCAATAGTGCCAGTTTGACTAAAAAAAAAATATTTTCCATATCCACAAAAATGTTAATCAGATTCTTGTTAGAACATGTGTAAGAACTGGTTTTCATTTTCACAGCTCTTGATGTCAGATTACTAAAATAATTTATGTTTTGTTGTGGGAACATGAGTGCACGCAAAATCTCTCCAATCACATGACCACTTCTCTGCCCACACGTCCTCATAACACATAGAAATTATTTGTGTTTTGTGGTAACGAATGAATGGCAGGAACAGCAGAATTTCAATGTGGCCTTTCTTTATTTGATTAAACATATTCTCTATTTATTCTTAAAAAAAACTAATTTAAGCTAAATGGCAGTAAACCATGATAATTTAGAAAACATGTTGAAACTGAGAGTGAAGAGAAATGTTCTTTACGTAAACCACACTGTAAACCATAAAACTTATTTTTGTCAACTGCTTTTCATGACAGTGGCTGGGAATTTGACATTTCTACTACAGTAGGCAAAAAAACATGTAAAATACACTCTCCCACATACCACATCACATCTCTATTTATATTTCCAAACTAAAAGCATTACAACCCAAAAAAGTGCTGAGTGCACTGCTCCAGTTACACCAAGAACTGTACATTCACCCCAGTAACACCTTAAGCTGGTATCTATGTGGTAAGGCCACTGTGGTGGCCCCTGACGCCAAGCCCTCTTCAATGGATCCAGTTTGGCTCACCAAGAGAAAACCCAAAAGGTGGTAAGCTTTTCAATGGCCTCAGGTTACCACAAGATAAAACAAACACAATTCTCAAACAGATTATGAAACCCAACTGAAGTATCCACACGACAGCATTTAATACTACCTCGCCACTTCAAAATGTGTCAGCAGCAATTAGCTATGAAAATGAGTGTTGTGAAAATTCGCAATAGTTTGAATATTTTAAAACTAGAAATCTTTAATACGACAGTAAACAATGTGACAGAAACATGGCTGCTTCTCTAATCTTGTCTAAGATATGCATTCCGTACAGGTGACTGGGTCCCAGAAGTTTTCTAAGAAACACTTTTCCTTTCCACTGAATGATCCTAAGAAGTCAGTGCAATCTGGTTCTTCTCCCTGCAGAAGGGTTATTTAGTTTGGGATGTAACATTTTACAACAATAATACAAACCTCCTGGGAGAATACCACAATAAATGTCTCAAAAACCACTCAGTTAATCCCAGGGTATAATCTGGCTGTTTTAAATTACTGCAAGGAATATTATGGGCCTTAATGACACTGTAACTGCATAAAGCCAAAGAAAGCTAGAAAGAGGGGCCAAAAAAATGAGCTCAGAGCCAGCCTAAGTGACAACAAACATGTGGTTGTTTACTAGGATTGGAGAGGTTTAGTCTGCAGATGTTTGTGGTCTCTAGAAGGTTCCAGAGGAATGAGTTATTATGAAGATTTGCCGAGTTGGATGAGAGCAAGATTCTTCTCGGAGATGGCAGGCCCCAGGACAGACAGGCCCAGTGGTATAGACAGAATTTATAGATTTCTGTGGTCAGATCATACTCTACTGGTCCCACAATGTACATCAACAAATTAATATTGTACGGATGTCATTTCAAAGCCTCCTAAAGACGAGAGTCATTATTGAAGCCATTAGAGCACAGATGGTTCAAACTATATGCAGATATTCATACTTGCATTTTTGCATTATAGCTGCTTTTTTTTTCTATTGAACTGTAATGAATTGTCTCATAATCTATTCCATCTTCTTGCCATTAGCAGGCTTTGAATGTTCACAAATAGGAGCAAAGAACTCATTTTCCAGAGCTTTAATCACACAAAGAGGGAATGCCTAATTCTCTAAATGAAATGGTCTGTGATCACTGAAGCAGAGATTTAATATATCACGGCAAATTAGGTAGATTTTAATAAATTACTTATCTCCCTGAATACTTTACATATGCTTAAGAAGGAACATAGCCTGTTTGCAAACAGTGAAAACCCACAGCCTATAAAAATCCTTTGAAGAAAATGACAAATAAAAAAGTAAATTAAAAAATGAAATGCATTATATCCTAGACCTCTAGAGACAATTCCTTTGCAGCATTGATTCACAGCTCCATTAAAAATATCAATTAAATCCTTCAGTGAGATTGGGTAAAAGCTAGAAAATTAACTTTCGGAGCTGCTTTTCGAGGATCTGGTTACCCAGATACACCCCGGCACTGTACTGGCTTGATGTAAATTTAAATAATGATAAAAAGATACTCCTTTCACGTCTAACTAAGCATATCAGAATTTGAGTTATACTTTTCATAATTTCTTTCTATGTTATATGCTGTTTTCAACATGTAAATTTCACATCTATCTATATACCTATCTCCTTTTTATATATACAGCCTTGGATCTCATATCACCATTACAAATACATGAAAATAATACAAATAGAATGAACTTTTACGAAAGAAAAACAAAAAACTTGCAGTCATTGAATAAGTTGGTGCTAAGTTTCATTCTTTATATTTAATTGATAGAAACCGCATGCATCAAAGAAAATGCATACTGAGCTTTAATGTGCATAAAATGGATATTAGCATTTTAAAGAGGAAGATTAACACATTAATCCAAGTAATTTTCATATATTGCTTCTAATAAAATCTTCACAGTATAAAACTCTTAATGAGGCTAATCATAGGCATTCCATTTAGTGGGACAATTAGGGATAACATAAAAGTATTTCTTTTTCATAGGTTTTCTAAGATTTATGCTTTTGCTTATTAAAAATAAAAATGGGAATTACATTTCAGTTCTTCCTAAGAAAATGTTGCAAATGCAAATAGACTTTCTCATGCTATCATGTAGGTATACATTATTGAGAAGGTACTGCCCATTATGGAGAACTTAAGTCCTGAGGGTTGGCAGTTATGAGAAGGAGGGGGTAGAGAAATAAACAAACGAAAAAGTATACAAAACTTCAACACTTCAAACCCAGGTCTCCCCACTCCCAGCTTCCCATGAATTATGTAGATTATATACACCAGAGTAGTTACAAAAATCTCATGTAGGAGCTTTCATGTGAGCATTTACTCAGGAGTAGGAGATGCTTCTGGAGCAGTTGCTTTCAAGCCTCCAAGTCATCTCTGTATTGCTTGTAGACAGACCGGAGGGCATGGAGAGCTTCGACTGTTACCCTGAGCTTGCCAATACCTTTACCATCTGCTCGTGCATCAAAAACTACGGAGAAAAGAGCAGGAATGTGTTAATATTGTTCAACAGATTTTTCTTTGGAAAGGCTCGCAGACAGAAACAGTAGTTGAAAAGATGAAAATAGTTCTACAGAAGTCCAAAGTTCACTGGCATCTTGGGTATTTAAAGAATAAACCTTGTCACGTGTGCATGGAGATGAGCATTTGAGACGTACTGCATGGACCTGGACATATTGCTCGTGGAGCTAAAACTAATGAGTTAATCCTGAAGTTTACCTAGTGAAAGCCTCTAGGATAATGACCCTCACATTGCAATCAGAATTTTTAAGCTAGTGGCTGGGTGTGGTAGCTCATGCCTGTAATCCCAGCACTTTGGGAGGCCGAGGTGGGGGGATCACCTGAGGTTGGGAGTTTGAGACTAGCCTGATCAACATGGAGAAACTCCGTCTCTACCAAAAAAAAAAAAAAAAAAAAAAAAAAGGCTGGGCATGGTGGCGCATGCCTGTAGTCCCAGTTACTCAGGAGGCTGAGGCAGGAGAACCGCTTGAACCCAGGCGGTGGAGGTTGCGGTGAGCCGAGATCATGCCACTGTATTGCAGCCTAGGCAACAAGAGCGAGACTCCTCAAAAAAAAAAAAAAGTATTTTTAAGCTAGTAAGCAGTAAGTCTAAAGGGAATTTATGATAATCTATACAGTGTTTCAAAATGGCAAATGCTGTATAGATGTTACATGATCATAGCTTGAATTAGTTATTTATCTTTCTGAGGAAAACATTCCATTTAAAATAGATTTTATGTGGAATTAGAAAAGATTAAAATGGCAGACCCAAGAATCTTAAGGTTTGTGGGTTTGAGTATACGTGGGATTTTCTTGGAAGAGGGGCCACTCCTTTCAGAGGTGTCCCAAAGGTAGACTTGGGCTCAAGTGATCCCCACACTGTGGCCTCCCCAAGTGTTAGGATTAGAGACCTGAGCCACTGCACCCAGTCTGGAAGGTGGACTATTTGACTGGAGCCAAGGGCATTCTCTGGGCTCGGTGGTGGGAGCCAGATGGGATGCTGATTAAACCCCTGAGACTCCATCCCTTGTGGACAACGATAATGGCTAGTGACTCAAGGCCAGAAACCTGGACTTTATAAGTTTGATAGCACTTATCACTTATGGGTCTTTATATAGTTTCCTTTTTTTTTTTTTTTTTTTTGACAGTGTCTGGCTCTGTCACCCAGGCTGAAGTACAGTGGTGTGATCTCGGATCACTGAAACCTCTGCCTCCAAGGGTCAAGCCAACCACCCACCTTAGCCTCCTGAGTAGCTGGGACTACAGTTGGGCGCCATCATGCCCAGCTAACTTTTACATTTTTTTGTAGAGATGGGGTTTCGCCATGTTGCCCAGGTTGGTCTTAAAACTCCTGAGCTCAAGCAATCCACCTGCCTTGGTCTCCCAAAATGCTGGGATTACAGGTGTGAGCTACCACACTGGCTTAGTTTCCAGTTTATAATTCCTTGTGGTTTTCCTTGAACTTTAATATATGTGTGTGTGTTTTTTTTTATTCCAAGAAAATTTGTTAGAAAGCCTTAAAACTTGATACATAAAGAGTTAGGTGCAGAAACTGAGCATTGGTGAAGTCAAAATGGCACGAGTGGTCCCCAGTTCATTCTCTGGAGCTGTCATCTCTGCTTTGGGACTTCTCACTTCTATGCTCGCCACAGAACAAAGCAGTAAAATCCCAACCTCACCTATGCCTAATCTTCTGGCTCTTTCCCAAAACATGGCCACAATAGCTGGCCGTGTCAGATCAGTGGGTCATATGTGATCTCACAGAAGAAGATGGGCTGCTAAACAACTGTCTGGAAAAAATGCCAAGAATATAAAGTAGAGATAATTGTGATATTTTTGTCAGACTTTCTTGGTCCTGGTAGTCTTTAATAGGGTTCAGGTGAATATTTCAATCCTCTCATCTTTTTCTCTGTGCCAAAGTTGGGACCAACTGCCATGTGGTTAGAAATGTACAGTTTATAAAGATTTCCCAGAAGAAGTTTCTAATTTGGTTATTTGGTCTACTTTGGTTAATTATTTGGCTTGAGCCTGACTTTTGAGCACTTGACACACACCTAGGACAAGCAGCTTGACAATGAACCAGGGCTGAACTACAGCGTAAGCAGAATGCCTGGCTCTTAAGAGGTGCTCACTTCAGTGTTTGTTGAATGCACAAGTGAATATGTAAACAAGTCATGCACATTTTTCCAGAGATGGCTCTGCTAACTCAACAAATGGGACTAGGAATCAGCTTTATTTCTCTATTTACTACATAAAGCCTAGGCCATCTCTGATTATGATTTTAAAAAGTCTCATTAATAAAACAATTTAGCATGTTCTAGAAACAGAAGAATAGAGAATAGAAATTAAGCATTGTTGGGAATCACAACTAGTGAGGTAAAAATCCAGGACAGCACATTTGTCAGGAACAGATCAAATGTCATTACTCCTCACAAATTCCTGGTGGGAAGTAAGGGATCAAAACTACTTCCTTGCTGTGACTGTATCACTACATTGCAACACTGAATTAAAGAGAAGCCTTGAGAAAGACACTATCAGGATCACTCAGAATAACATGCTTAAGGTTAAGTACCTTAGTAGAAATAAGGCTTCCATAAACATTAACAGAATAACATGCTTAAGGTTAAGTACCTTAGTAGAAATAAGGCTTCCATAAACACTAACAGAATAACATGCTTAAGGTTAAGTCTTAACTGAAATGTGGCTTCCATAAACAACCTTGGAAAAACATCTGGCCAGGCTTAGTGGCTCACGCCTGTAGTCCTGGCATTTTGGGAGGCTGAGGTGGGCAGATCACTGGAACCAAGGAGTTCGAGACCAGCCTGGGCAACATGATGAAACCCTGTCTCTATACAAAATACCAAAAAATTTAGCTGGGTGTGGTGATGCACGCATGTAGTCCCAGGTACCTGGGAGGTTGAGGTGGGAGAATTGCTTGAGTCTAGGAAGTTGAGGCTGCAGTGAGCCGATTGTACTCCAACTTGGGTGACAGAGCACAACTCTGTCTCAGAAAACAAACAAACAAACAAACAATGGCCAACTTTTTCTCATACCTTCACCCAATACTAAAAAATGAATAATTCCTTGTGAAGCTAAATTAATTATTTTACAATTTCTGTTCATTCAAAGGAAAGCAGGTGGGGAAGGCAGGAAAAGGATATTGGAAGACACTTCAGCTTCAATAAGGCGTCAACTTGAGTTGTAAAGGATTCAAGTAATGTGTGACTCAGCACACTTGGAGCCAGCAAAAAGAAGGCTTCAATAAAGAGTTTGGAGTTCAGCAATTGTTGGTTGCACAAACTGAGTAACATTTTCACCCATACCATCGATGTCTTGCTCAATGAGGTCCCTCCCTTCCTGAAACATGTTGGCAAGGTCAATGTGAGCCACGCCAATGTCCTCACACTCCAGGTCCTGCTCATCCTCTGGAGGGTCACTGACCACGGTGAAGCGAATGCTGGTAAGGTAGAGATCAGAGAAAGTCATCACCAAGTGAGAAGAAATCACCACAAGACAAAACTCCCAAATGGGGTGTTATCACTAGGTATAAAATGTTAAAGTTTCCAAATATTCCAATAAAAAGAAAGGTACACTAGGTTAGATAAGTTATTATATGAACTATTAGAATTGTTATGAAACACCCAACCTTCAAATGAACACTAATCCACTTTCTAAGCACTGATTAACATTTATCTCTATAATCTGAGAAAATTACTAGGCAAAGAGAAGGACCAGATGTTCACTCTTTTACATACTATCTGATTGTATTTTGACACCTCTACTTTTAAGGCTAAAAGGATGAAGTGAATAAAGACCATGGAGGTTCAATGATCAGAATTTTCCATAGAAACGTAACATTTCCTATAGAAACACACAACTCTGGAGTTGCTACTAAGGACTTTAACAAAACTGTATGTATTCTACAAAACGCAGAGATCATGCTCCCAGGGTAACATTTGAATCATGTTAGATAAATGTTGTAACTCTGCCCAACAGTTATATCAAATGTTTGTATTACTTCAGCAATCTTTAACTTACAATCATAGCATCCAAGTTTTATTTTACTTTAAGACATATAATTGTAGGGTTCTGATGGAACTGATTTGAATTAGTGGCTTTTCCGGAGGCCAAATGCACTTGGATTGACCAAATGACAGGAATTTACAGTTAAGTACTCTTTTGATATGTCTTGGCAGCATAGCTTAAACCATAGATGCTTGTAAACTTTACCATTTTAAACTTTTCAAAATGTATCCATCCCAAATCAGAAACAAAACAAGAAACATAAAAATCTACATCTCTGAGAAATCATGCCTTGAAAAACACAAATAAAATCCTTTCCAAACGCTTATAGGTAAACATGACAATACATTTAACCAACTTGCTGAAAGTAAGTATTCTACATTGAATTCCTTTACTAAGTCTCTGTTTTTAGCTAGCAATAAGAATATTTTGTTTTTTGTGTTTTTTTTTTTTGAGACAGAGTCTCACTCTGTCACCCAGGCTGGAGTGCAGTGATGCAATCTCGGCTCACTGCAACCTCTGCCTCTTGGGTTCAAGCGATTCTCCTGCCTCAGCCTCCCTAGTAGCTGGGATTACAGGTGCCCACCACCACATCTGGTTAATTTTTGTATTTTTAGTAGAGATGAAGTTTCACTATATGTTGGCCAGGCTGGTCTCCAACTCCTGATTTCAGGTGATCTGCCCACCTTGGCCTCCCAAAGTAATGGGATTACAGGCGTGAGTCACCGCACCCGGCCTGCAATAAGTTTTTATTAGAAAACAGAAATCCTTTAGGTCAAAATCACAGTTAACACCTACTCACAAAATAATTATAGAGAGTACAGATCTTGGCCTTCAATGTGGTACAAAGGAATTTTTATAACATGTATAAGACAGAGGGATTAAGATGGAGTGGTTAAAGGCATCCATTCTGGGCTCAAATTCCTGCTTTCCTACTGCTTAGCTGTGTGACCTTAGCCATATTACTTAACCTCTCTCATCTCAGTTTCCTTACCAGTGGAATGGAGATAATTATACCTATCTTACAGGGCTCTTGTGAGGATCAAATGAGATGATACAAGTGAACTGTTGCCTGGAACACAGTAAGCACTGAGTAAATGTTTGCTCTTTTTTTAGTAGTATTTTTAATATAGATAGAGCTGCTTATGCTTCTACATTTCTAAGGAGAGAGAAAAACGTGGCATTGGAAAAGCTTGTTTCAACTGAAATTTTAGTTAGATTCCCAAATTATACATTGATTATATCATCCAATTAAGTAAGATGAATGATGATGAAATAAGTTTTCCTAAAATGAATTAGGAAAAGAGGAAGAATTAAAACTGCTTGGAAAAGGAGGAATTAAAAGTAATATATAATGCACATATTATAACACAAGACTTACAGAAAAGACTGAGGCTATGCAGACTGTAATAATAATGTTAAGTATTATCTTCATACAGTGTCTCATATCTAAGGATCATGTCTGTATCACTTTACAAATGCAGACAATTACCTCCACTGAATATATGAGAATTCTGTGGCAAAAGAAAGCCTTCTAAATGCCAGAGAAAGAACTAGAAATTTAAAAATGCAATATTTCTGGCTTTAAATTCTATATAGAGAAAAATAAGATGTCAAAAACAAAATTAAGAAACCAGAAAGTTAAGCTGAAAAGGGAGGAAAAGTACACTAAAATCATTTAAGAATTAAAACTAATTTTAAAAAAATAACGAATAGACACACACAGAATCTTACATCTTACTTCCAACACTGCCAAAACAAAAAGGCAAAACTTTGTTCCATGTCTGGAAGAACGCTTACAGTCTAGTCTGAGGACCTGGATCAACACAGGGGGCAGATGTCAAGCACTCAGGTGGAAGGAAACACAGGAAGTGCTACCTGAGCTACTTCTGCCTCCTCTTCCCACCTCTTTCTCCTGCCGCTCTACTTCTCAGTGAGACCAGACTTGCTAACCACCTCTGCCTGGTGCTGGAACACATCTCTCTATACTCCTTCATGCCTGGAGTTCCCTCTGCCCGAAACGATATTCTCTGAGCTTTTTGTGACTTGACTGAGTCCTCTCATCCTTCATGAACTAGCTTACGTGTCACCTCCTCAGATTCAATGCTGAGGATTCACTGAATTTGATTCAGCTTTCACTGTTATTTCCTATTTTGGCATTTAACTTGTTTGGTTTTCTCTTAGTCTTACTGCAAATGTAATTAGTTTATCTGTCTATTTATTATCATAGTCTGTCTTCCTCAGGGGTGGATCTGTTCAACAGAACACTGTTAACAAGAAAAAACTGAAACCAAAAAGGGACCTTAAGTCAGTGTTAAACTATGACTTCAAATAAATACTGTTTGAAGGCACATTTCAATATATTACCTTCCTTTTAAAGTGACACATGTATATTTGCAGATACAGCATGGGGTGGCATGCAAAGGTACTACATATAATTTATTATACAATGTCTATAACTTTAGACATGTCGGGGAAGATACGTCAAACTTCTCCAACCGTCGCTTTGTAGGTTATCACCAATATTCAACAGGGTTGCTGTCTGAGAAAGTGAATTCTCATAAACTAGGAGCTACTTTAAATAATGTGACCTCTGAATATTTAAAAAAGGTGAGAACGTTTGCTGGAATAACAATTGGCTTTTGGCTGTGGAAAAACATACATGTAAATGCCTATTTCCCTTAGGAAAATGATACTGTTGAGGGAGAGCAGTAAATGGGGCCATCCTCTCCCATGGTGGTTCGAGGAGTGCATGGCCAGCACTCAAACACTCATCCATGGTTGGAAGCCCTGAGCCAATCACTTGGCACCTGCAACACCTCTCTATCTTTCTAAAAAACGACATGAACATTTGTTTCTTTGGCGGGTGTTGACAGAAACAACCATGGGAGAGTGGGAGTCATTACAGTTACTGTGGACTTTTCTCTTTGACACAGGGTCTTGCTCTGTCACCCAGGCTGGAGTACTGTGGCGCAACCATTGCTCACTGCAAGCTTGAACTCCTGGGCTCAAGCGGTCCTTTCTCCTCAACCTTCACAGTAGCTGGGACTACAGGTGCATGCCACCATGCCTGGCTAATTTTTAAAAAATATTTTTAGTAGAGATAGGGGGTCTCACTATGTTGCTCAGGCCAGTCTCTAACTTCTGGGTGCCAGGGATCCTTTTGCCTTGGCTTCCCAAAGTGCTAGGATTAGAGGTATGAGCCACCGCACCTGGCCTTTTTAAATTTCTTAATCTATTCTGGTACAAATAAGTGGGTCCTCTGAGGAAAGGCAGGTCTAACATGAAAGCAGAACTTGCTTTTAAATTTTTAAAATAAACACTTTTGGGGTAAAAAAAATTGTCTCCCAATACGTTACAATATGATCTCACATTTCAGAAACAAAGCGAACACAGAGGCAGACAAAGAAGACGAATAGGCTACTGAAACGCAGCCCAGGACTTGTCCATGGGAACTGAGCTCCATCCTAGACAGCCATGGTGCAGCTCGCTGACCATAGGGAAGCAGATGCCATGGCCACCGCTGTTTATTCCCTCGTCACTCATGACCTGGGGTGACCCTGGGGGACTGGTGGTTTTGAAGGGGGCCCTGAAAGAAGCTGAAGCAAGTCAAACCAGAGTGATTACCATCCTGGAAAAAGTAGATCCTCAGGCTTAACAGGATTTTACCTTTCCTTCAGAAATAAAAACTGAGATCCAAAGAAATGATGTATTTCAGGAGCTAGTGAAAGAATAGAGATAAAGCTATATTATCAGATCCCAAGAGCTAAGAATTCCAGTCTCTCTTCTTCAAACAGAAGATAAAATGCTAGTTTGGAAGCTCTTTTGAAAAACATGTCTTTAACTTTATGGCCCTCTGGAAAAGGAAAGAACTTGAGTCTCCCAAGGCGGCAGAGTCAGTGCTGTTTTTGAGGCAGTGATAGGCTGTGTCATCAGTAGGTCATAAGGCAAGAAGTGGGCAATGGAGACAGAAGAGGTGTACTCAGGCCGAGGGAGGAGGGCCAGCAAGGGGCACTGGAGAAATCAGCTTGCGGTTAACAAGCAGCACAGGGGTAACTCCTCAAACTGCGGCAGAAGCTCACACAGAAGCACTAACTTTTTAAGATCAGTTTTTTTTTCTTCTGAAAATTATATACATATATTTTCTCTACTGAACCAGAATTGCAAGGTATCTTATTTAAATTAGAAAAAAATGCCTTCAAAAAATAATAATGAAATGATGGCTTATTAAACAGTAATAGTAAGATACAAATTAGTCTGAAAGGCTGATGAGCCATTACAAACAATAATATTAATGTCACTACTTACAATGATTGCAATTAACACTCACTGTGCGCTACGTGTCAGGTACTATACTATCTGTGTTACATATATATCTCATTTAATCCTCACACCAACCCTCTATGGTGTTATCATCTCCATTTTAACGTTGAAGAGAGAGAGGTGCAAGAAGGTTAGGTAACTTGTCTGAGGTCAGTCAGCTAGAAAGCAGTAAGACAAGAATTTATACCCAAGGCATGTGACTCCAGAGTGCACCCACCTTTCAACCTGTTAGTCTTTACAACTACAGGAGTGGCAACAGGATACTTTATACATGTTGCCCAGTCTTTGGTGTTCAAAGTCCTATAGGATCGTTACAATTATTTTGTATAGTAGGAAGGGCCATTACATTTCTGGGAAGAAGGCGATCTACAGAGATCCCGAACTCATTCAAGGACACAGAGTGAGTCACAGAACCCCAGTGTTCTGCTTCCTTATCTTGTGCCTTTTATTTTAACCACATCCTGCTACAGAGATCTACTTTATGTAAACCATTAGATAATTTGGACTGCCAAAATGTACCTTCTATTAGGCATCTCTTGTTTTTGTAGTATAGCTGTTAAGATGTCTCTCTTTGCTTGGTTGTTTTCTTTATCCACGTAGATCACTATACCAAAAGAAAAAAAATTCCAAAAAGGAAGTCACTCAGGAATAGGCTATATTAGTACCATTCTGTATTTTTAAAAATACCTGTTTTTAAAGACACAAGTCATGCCACCTCACTTGTATGCCTGGGAAAAGAAAACAGCTCCAGAAACCAGAATCAAATCTGAACAGTCATGTGATCTAATGTCATGTCACTGGCAGGTTTATGTGCACACTGTCAGAAAAGATACAAGCAACATCTAAGAGTGCCACATCACTGTCACTGCCTGTTAATGGCACTGGCAGTCATGACAGTAAAAGCCAATGGTCTTTATTGCTTTGTATTTGAGGGATTTACTGCATTTTCTTTCACCCAAGAAGCAAGTGATAATGATAATGTATGGCAGAGTGCTTGTCCTTCCTGACAGCCTCAGTAATTTAATCCTTCTCTCCTGCCACAACATGCAATAAAAGAGGCGTCTAGTGCATTGGGTTGAGGAAATCCACAGGCTGACGCCTGCTGGTTAGGGGTATGGGAGAGAAAGGTGCAGGGAGAGAAAGGCTTTTTAGGGTGTAAGGTTTTTGGTTTTAAAGGCACATGCTGGCTTCGAGGAATGTGGCCAGACTTCACTTGGCTGAAGCATGAGATTAGATAACTGACCTCAAGTCTCAACAGAAAGAAGATGGTAAACTCTTGACATTGTAAGTAAGCGTCTGCACTTTGGGAAAATGGCATCTCAATGTGCGAACACTACAATTTTCCTCCTGATTATCTTTTCTCAGTTCGGCAGCCTTTCAGCCATGCATTAGCTTCTGAAGGCATTTCCTTTTCATATGCCATTTTGGATGTAAAGGCTCCCCTGTGACCAGATCTCAACTTAGAGATTATCCCTGGTCAAAAGCACACAAAGGGTGAAAGATATCATGATAATTCTAAAGCCAGTTCTCCTTAGGCTGTGCCAGGAACAAACATCTTTTATGTTGAAAATGTTTCCCTGAACAATTTTAGTTCAATTCCAAATTATGATGCTATCAACTCATTTGTTTGGCTCAGTTGAGCAAATATTAACTGAGGGCCAAAGGCACTGAGTAGGCACATAGTGGGAGAGACATAAAGGTACAGGTATAGGGGTGGGTTAGTGGTTTCAGAGAAGAATCATCCAAGACATAATAACCAAGTTAATAATCAACTCTGGATAGCCAAAGTCAAACACGAGCTCCTAGCTTACTGCTCTTTGCATGGTATCATATTAGTAAATGTGGCTAGTTATATAAGTTACTGAAGTTTATAGAAATCAATACAGATTCAAAGGTTCAGAGTATTTTGTTTTATTTCTCAATGCCAAAAAGTCATGCTAACAGATCACTGGAAGATAGTACTTTGTTTTTTAGAAGCTGCTAGTTACACAATGCTAAAGGGGAACTTTTTTTCCAAATGGGATTTTTTTTTTTTTTTTTGCTGTTAATTACCAATTCAAGATATGGTACACCATACTGTTTTTGACTTCAGAGTTGTAAAGCTTTTATGTCATACTGGCTTCCATTGTTTGAAGACAAGGGTAATCTCAGTGGTTAAATAAAAAAGACTGAATTTAAAATGCCAGCATTCAAATAAAGGGTCTTCCAATTAAACCTAGACCAGATGTGATAAATTTCAATGGCTTAAAACTTTTTTTATTGTGGCAAAATATGCATAACATAAAATTTACCATCTTAAGTTAACAGTTAAGTATTCAGTTTAGTGGCATTAAGTACCTACACATTGTGATACAACCGTCACCATTATCCATTTCCAGAACTTCTTCATCTTCCCAAACCAAAACTCTATACTCATTAATCAATAATTTTCCATTCTTCCCTCCTCCCAGCCCGTGGTAACCACTTTTTGTCTGTATGAATCTGACCACCCAAGGTATGTCATGTAAGAGGAATCATACAGTATTTGTCCTTTTGTGTCCAGTTTATTTCATTTAGCTTTGGTGTTCTCAAGGTTCATACATCTTGTAGCATATGTCAAATTTCATTTCTTCTTAAGGCTGTACAATATTTCATCATATGTATATACCACATTTTGTTTATCCACTTACCCTGTGACACACATCTGGATTGTTTCCACCTTTGACTATTATGGATAATGCTGCTCTAAACACGGGCATACAAGTATCTGAGTTCTTGATTTCAATTCTTTTTGGTATATAACTAGAAGTGAAATTGCTAGACCATATGGGTCATTCTAAATTTACTTTTTTTTTTTCCTTAGAGATGGAGATCTTGCTCTGTTACCCAGGCTGGAGTGCAGTGGTGTGATCATAGCTCACTGCAGCCTCGAACTCCTGGGCTCAACTGAACCTCCCACCTTAGCTCTTAGCCTCCTCCCGGTAGCTGGGACTACAGGTGCACATCACCATGCCCACCTAATTTTTGTTTTTTGTAGAGATGGAGTCTCCCTATGTTGCCCAGGCTGATCTTGAACTCCTGGCCTCAAGTGATCTTACAGTCTTGGCTTCTCAAAGTGCTGGAATTACAGGTCTAAGCCACCATGACTGGCCTAATTTTTCTTTTTAAAACATCTTTACCATTGAAATTGGTTTTAAAAAGTGGTGTCATTGGGGATTCCCTATGCTTCTGCTTTATCCAGTTGGCCAGCATACTATATTTCCTATTCTCTTAATAAAGATAAAAATGACTGCCACTATTTACTGGGTAATATTTATGTGCTAGGTACTACACTCAATACTTTTATTGTCATCATGTAGGTTAAGAACCTGACCCACATTTTACAGATAATTAAATGGATCCAGAGAAGGTTAGGAGTTTGTCCAAGACCACCTAGTTAGAATGCGGCAGAGCCAGAATTTGAATCCAGCAATATTAGCCTCAAGAGTCTGCTCTCTTAACCTCCATGCTACATAACCTCTCCTCCCTCCATGTGCAGCCAAAGTTTTCCCGTTTAAGCTCTGGTCATTTTGTTAACACAAGGCTAGAGGGTAAGAGAATGTTTCATAACAGTATCAAGGGAAGTCACTTCATTTTCTTTTGTTTCATAAAGGAATATTGCTTAGATATACCTAGTCTAGGTGTGTCAAATCATATTTCTTGGCAGAAAACTTTCAAAATATCCTTTTTGAAAATACTCCAGCTACTTACCAATAAGCTTAGTTCTCCAAAAGTGTACCAAGTTGGAACTCTCCTGCTTCCACAAACAAGGCCTAGATTGGGCATCTTTATCTAGCCCAACGGTTCTCAGTCTTCATTGTATATCACAACCCCTTAAAGGGCTTGTTAAAATGCAGATTATTGAGTTGTATTCCCAGAGTTTCTGGTTCAGTAGGTCTGGATGAGGGCCTAAGAATTTGCAATTCTAACACATTTCCAGCTTCTGTTGCTGCTGGTGGTGAGGGTTCTACACATTGAGAACCATTGTTTGGCCCAATATTCATTTGCCAGATTTTTAAATGGGATCAGGAGATAGTGAACACTTTTGGGTTGAATACTGTGGGAAACAGGAACACTTTGGCCGCCTCTGATTATGTCATGATATCCTATGACTAACCATGGTTCATCTGGTATTCTAAAATCCTAGATGGTTAAAAAAAACTTACAATTTCAAAACCTGAAATACATCCTATAAAAAGTGACTCTGGTGATTATTAAAAGTATCAGAACTCTCCAAAAGTTAAGGTATTTACCTTTCATTCCCCTCAGAAATCACATTTGTTTAGGACTTGTATGATTTTGACATAAACTTACTGAAAGGATATGTCTCAAAAAGGATACAAACTAGTAGTCCAAATACTTTAGTTGATCTTCAGTCAACTACCATTAAAAACATATCCTTTACTTCTGCAAGCTGGATAAATCCTTATATTCTATTATCAATGTCATATGGCAGAGGAAATGCAGATGGCTTAATTATAAGGAGTTGATAACCTTGAATCTCAGATAATGTTTGCATTAAAGAGTTATCATCCCTATCATCCTTATCTTTGTCAAATTTCTCCTCCTATTAGTTACAAAATCTGATGTTTTACATCATCTTCATCTTTTGAATTAAACTTCAATTGTTCCAAAAGACAGACTGTTCCAAAAGACAGACTGTTCAGAGGCTAAGGGTCCAGACCTGTATAAGTCTCATAAAAACTTTGGATGATTTCATTAATCTTTTTCTTCCCACTGTCAATTCCATTGTAGGCTTTATTTGGCCCAGACAACATTCTTCAGACCTACCATTAATCTTATTTTTTCCCAAACTATTTTCTTGCTTTCTCAGCATTCTCTGAGCAAAATTTTCAGGCCCAATAAAATACAAATGTTTTGTTCTTGATACCACTGTCTGGCAAGTAAATTCAATTTTAGTTTTTCAGTGTTGGTATTCCTAAGAGAGAGAGAGAGAGAGAGATATATATATATATATTTTTGAGATACAGTCTCTCTGTCACTCAGGATGGAGTGCAATGGCACAACCTTGGCTCACTGCAACCTCCGCCTCCTGGGTTCAAGCGATTCTCCTGCCTCAGCCTCCTGAGTAGCTGGGATTACAGGCGCCTGCCGCCATGCCCATCTAAGTTTTGTATTTTTAGTAGAGACAGAGTTTCACCATGTTGGACAGGCTGGTCTCAAACTCGTGATCTGCCCGCCTCGGCCTCCCAAAGTGCTGGGATTACAGGTGTCAGCCACTGTGCCGGGCCAATTTTTGTATTTTTAGTAGAGGCGGGGTTTCACCACGTTGGCCAGGCTGGTCTCGAACTCCCAACCTCGTGATCCGCCCACCTCAGCCTCCCAAAGTGCTGGCATTACAGATGTGAACCACCATGCCCAGCCAGGAGATATATATTTTCTTTGTGTGTAGGTTACACTGGTTTTAATACCTCTTAATAAAGGCTGAATTCAATTATGAATAATCTAGGGGATCACTAGTCTACATCTCTCATTTTATGTACTTAATTTGGGCCTGAACATACAAGTCTCTTTTGCACAGATTCAAGTCACAATGTAGGGTAAAATCATTGCTAGGTTCAGCTAACCTCTCTACTGCATGGTGTTCAAACAGAAGATAGCATGTACTAATTGTCCTCTAAATTATCCATTTGAGTTAAAAAGTTTGGAAATAAAATTACTTTCATTAATATTTAATGAGATTTGGAAGATCTAAGTCTACATTACATTGACCTTCTGTATCAGGTAACAAGTGAATGGTAAATCATTACAATAATTACATGAGATAGTTACTTATTAACCAAAGACTCAAGAAGATCCCCCTGCAATGGAGATGCAAATATAATAATTTGAAAATAAACATCTTCATTATGTCATACTTAAATGAAAAATAAAACATTCAACAAGCTTAATATTAATTATTTCTCAAATTTGCTGATGACCTAGGAGCTCATTTTTTCAGATATAACAGATATAAAACAGCATTAGTTTGCTTCTAAGCACGGAGTACATTCCTTTCCCCTCCTCCCAGAAAAATATCCTTAAAATTATTTTCAATTAATCTTGAAAATTCTACACAGTCAAATCTCATTAGATAGGAAAAGAAACCAAAAAAAGGTATAGTAAACACTTTTACTGAATTCATTTCTAACAAATTACTGGTTTCCTTGCTGCTATCAAATGATTAATTCATTAGAAACATAAGTAACTGTTAACATACCAATTAGACAATAAAATACCCTGCAGTAAAGGGAAAAAACAAACCAAAATGCACCAACAGGCTGGGCATGGTGGCTCACACCTGTAATACCAGCACTTTGGGAAGCTGAGGCAGGTGGATCACTTGAGGTCAGGAGTTTGAGACCAGCCTCGGCAACATGGCGAAATCTCGTCTCTACCAAAAATACAAAAATTAGCTGGGTGTGACTGCGTGTCCCTCTAATCCCAGCTACTTGGGGGGCTGAGGTGAAAGGATCGCTTAAACCCAGGAAGTGGAGGTTGCAGTAAGCCAAGATGGTACCACTACACTTCAACCTGGGCAAAAGCCTCAGACCTCAAACAGACCTAGAGGTAACCATGTGAGAATGTAAAAAATTTGGGCCATTTAAGCATATATCACAGTTTGATCTAAAGAAAGATCTGTATTGCTCTTCAAGCAAATGGAAACATCTATTCCTTGACATGGCCAAGTTTCTCAATACCCAATTAATCTCTAAAAAACAATTTTGTTGCCAGTCCAACCAAATATTCTACTGCTGACCTCTACAAAGAATAATACAAAAGCCAAAGAGTTTGTCATTTTTCTTGGGGTATCTTTCTTAAAACTAGTTGACTGAACAGTTCTTTCATTATTAATAATATTTTGATATGGTTTTCTTTTCTGGTACTCTGCAATTGAGGATTTCCAGGAAGCCTGAGAAAATACTTTTGGAAATGTTTTCTTTATATTAAGTGCATGAAATGAAGGAGGAATCAGATTCTTGTCCTGTCCACACCACTTATTTCACATGTGATTTCTTAACACACCTGTTATTGTAGAATTTAAGCTGGAGTGGATCTTAGAAAGCACCTTACTTTTCAAATAAGAAATCAAGGAATCATGAAATTTAAACATCTTGCCTTAGTTCACATAATAGTAAAAATTGGGGATACAGGGAGGACCAGACCACTAGGCCACATCTCTGGATACTTAAGACTACTGTTTTGAGGAATGAACATATTTCTAAAAATGCCAGATGGGGGGAAAAAAAGGTAATCATGAGCATTTGTAATCCTGCTGATACAACAGCATGGTTATACTGTTGATTAAAATGCAATTTCTAAGATTAGTGAGGAAAAAATAATGATGAACTAGCATGAGATGGCCTATTTTGCTAAAAATAGCACGACACTCCATTTTTATGGTTTGTTGTAATGTAGAGCTCTAGGAGAACATACTAAGCTGTTTTAGCTTAGGGTGATGGTAGCCTGATATTATTTTTTATTTCTCTCCAATTATATACTAACAATCACACAATAAAGTTGATTGATCTCAGAATTTATAGGGTACCTGTCGGGTCTGTGCTGGTGTGGTAAACTTACATGTCAATTGGCTGCTAGATCAAGCCCTAAGACAGAAAACCTGCCTGCTGCTACGAATGGATGTGTGTGCTATATGATGAAAGGTGTAGTAAGAATTTACGCTTCACTCAATTAAAATCTTGAACATCTAGACACTGAGAGAGATATACACACGTATTGTAAAAACATCCATGTGATGACATTGATCAGAAAGGTAGACAAAAAATAGGATATTGAAAGCTTTGAATGATATGATTAAAAAACTACTTCTTTGAAAGATATTTCTTTGAAATATCATATATTTAAATTAAATTCCTAATTATAGACCCAGCTGACATTTTTCTGTTGAACTGTTACATAGCAGGACCATCTTAGAAATATTTTTTCACATTGTTTTGTTTTCTCTTAACTTTGGTATTACCTCAACTTTCTTTTCCTTTCTTTTTTGAGACAGGGTCTCACTTTGTCACTCAAGCAAGAATGCAGTGGCAAGATCTTAGCTCACTGCAGGCTCACCCTCCCAGGCTCAAGCAATCCTCCTGCCTCAGCTTCCTGAGTAGCTGGGACTATAGGCGTGCAACACCATGCCCGGCTAATTTTTGTATTTTTTTTTTTTTTTTTTTTTTTTGTAGAGACGAGGTTTCGCCATGTAGTCCAGGCTGGTCTGGAACTCCAGAGCTCAAGCGATCCACCTGTCTTGGTCTTCCAAAGTGCTAGGATTACAGGTGTGAGCCACTGTGCCTGGCCCAACTTTATTTTCTTAATCTTTATGCTACTGGTTTGACTTTTATTAATCAATTCTGACAAGACTTCCATGAATTTATGTGAACATTAGAGAAATAAACTTTCTCTCTGTTCTTTCTGTTTCTTTCATAAATAAAAAAGACAAACATAAAAGTCTGTATTACAAATGAATCATACATACCATTGCTATAGTTATAGTAGACCCACTGCCCACTCTTGGGTTTTGGAAGCGACACGGGTGTCTCTTCAGCAGGAAGACTGTAGAATCGACACTCAACGAACAGCCGTTGGATAGTGTCATCCATGGTTACTTGAGAATCATTAAGGCTTAGAGCTATGATGTCAATCCGAATTTTTTCTGATGGCTGTTTAAAGAGCAAAAACAAAATAAAACAAAGAAATAAAATAATTGAACAAAAAGATCCACTATTACTTTCCACCATCAATTTTAAATAAAACACGAAGGCCAATGGGCTTCTTTTCTTGAATGCAATGTACACTACTGTATGTTACACATGATAGATTATTCACGACAGAGAGCGAGAATGAGATTCTAATGCCCCAGGGTTTGAAGTTAACAGTGTCATGGCAATAGTCTCCTGATTTACATTTGAGGCTATAAATACCCCACTAGTAGTCTATCAGGAGTGAAGATTATGAGATCTTCATCTCCGATTGCTTTCAGAATGACAAGTTGTCCTTGTTTCAAACTATGTAATGAAGTACGTGTTTATCACTGCTTTTACTTAATCTACAGTACCTGAGAAAGTTTCAGTTATTCAGAGATCAAAGCCTGTTGAACACTTTATAGGTATTATGCTAATACGTGTAGCTCTATGAATCAATATTAACTAGAGCAGAAACTACAGTTCATTCTCTCATATTCTGTCATAATATATTTTGTTCAATAAATAATACATTTTCAAGCAAAAGAAACAATTTTATGTTAACTTGAACATTTTCTCACAATTTATTTTTAATTTTATTTTTACAAAATTAACAACTAAAATGGTGTTTATTTAATTTTCACTTTAATCCTTGCTTAATAGATTTTGGTGTCATAGACATTAACATGGGAATTACAAATGTTTCCTTGAGTAATGATTTCAAATAATTAATAGACTAGGATTAGAAATTGTATCACACTCCAAGATAACTCCTCAGTTAAATCTGTTTTTTATAATTTAAAGTTTGTCTTTTAGTATCAAAATCCTATTTTACTAAATTTAGAGACATGCTATAAATTATATAACTTCACATAACAATTAGAAAAACCTGAAAATAAGACCTGTTTTATGACCAGCTTTTAGGAATTCATTGTTAAATGTAAATCAGTGTGTAAATTCACCATAGTGGTTACTTAGTTATTTCAAAGCATGTAATTAATCAAATTGAAAAGTATAAGTACCCTATTGTAAAAATATTACCATAAAGAACAATTTCCATTGCTGTCAAACCCCCTCAATATTTGATGAAGTAATTTTACCCCCTTCTTTCAAAAGACATTTTCTTTTATTATGTATTCTAAGACACTTTAACTAAAAACCCAAATCTGAATATTTCAATAAGGTTATTTTATTATTCAGTAGATTCATGGAAATTTTACTAGGATGACAGAGAAAATTCCACACCATTCTGTCTCCACTAATACAGGTACAAGGCTGCAGCTGGCAATATTACTAGGATTAGCATAGTATGATGAAATATTTAAAGGAAAATTTTTTCTAAAACCTAATAAATCAAATGACTGCCAAATGTCATTAAAGTGATGGTCTTTGACTTGAATATGCTTTTCATATTCAAATTTGAAAAGAAAGAGATGAAAGCCTGGAAAGGTTACTCGGTTTCAACTAATAACCTCAAGCCCTCTCCGTTCACGTGCATAAAAAATGAAGTTGGCTCTATTGTCTAATCTCACTTCAGAAAACCCCTTCTCTGCTCGTTGAAGACTAAATGGTAAAGAAAATATTTTAAATGATATATTTTTTCTTAAAATGTATTACGGTTGTGAAAATACTGTAATACATATATTTTATAATTCTGGTCTAAGTGCAGCATACTGTATAGTTAATTCTTCTACATAAGTTGGAATTTGACAAACTTAGAATTATTATAGCAATAACATCTTATAAAACATTTATGTTTCTGCAGAAAAGAATTAAAGAAAACTAGCTACAAAAAGAAAAAAGTGGTATACATACTTATTTCTACTCTGTGAAAATAGGAATTTAAAATTGTTTATCACGGAACCTAATAAAGAAGTAAACGAACTTGTAAATAGCAGGGGAATCAAATTTATCTAAGTGGTTATTTTATTAATAATATATTAGCTATACAATCCCCATATGAAAACTTGAATTATTGTAAGAACCAATTTAGGCTGTCAAATAAGACTACATGCAACTCTTTGAAGTTTAAAACACAATCCTAGATAAAAGTATTCACTTGGATCCCAGCCAAAACACAAAAACAAAATAACAAAACCCCAAACACCAAAACAACAAAAAAGAAAACTCACTGTATTATCAAAAAAGTCAAGAACTTTAAAATTCTTTTCATGATGTCCATCTTATATGTCTGGTCAATTTTTTATATTTATTTGTGTGTCTCTACATTACTGCCATTACTTCGATCAAATGTCCTTTTTAATTCTCTGACCAATACACCTGGCAGAAATGATCAGTTACTGTTTCTTCATTCATTTAATGCTACATGAATCAACTTGGAATAAATCCAAAAAGGGGTAAATTTTAAGCAGCTTTTACCTGAGAAAGTAAGCGCTAAATAAAGAATTTTTCCAAACATAAATTTTGACAAACGAAGCTAGACAATTTATTTTTCAGCACTGGAACAATTCTAGTTGTGTTCAAGCCCCTCTGATTAAAAAGTTCAACCAGATTTTGTATAAAGATCTGAAGACTGGCCAGGCGCAGTGTCTCATGCCTGTAATCCCAGCACTTTGGGAGGCTGAGGCGGGCAGATCACGAGGTCAGGAGTTTTGAGACCAGCCTGGCCAACATAGTGAAACCCCGTTTCTACTAAAATTACAAAAAATTAGCTGGGAGTGGTGGTGGGTGCCTGTAGTCCCAGCTACTTGGGAGGCTGAGGCAGGAGAATCGCTGGAACCCAGGAGGTAGAAGTTGCCGTGAGCTGAGATTGCGCCACTGCACTCCAGCCTGGGCGACAGTGCGAGACTCTGTCTCAAAAAAAAAAAAAAAAAAAAAAAAAAAAAAAAAAAAAAGAAAACTTTATCTCAACATGTCAGAAATGAACTCATTCTCGCTCCCCTCCCCCAATCCTATTCATCCTGTGTTATTTCCTACCTCAACTGATGACATCACCATCCACCTAGTCCCCTACAACCAGGAGACATAGCAGCATCCTTGCCTTTCCATTTTTCTCACACCCACTATATCCTAAAGATCACCCATTCCTGCTCATTATACTTTCTAAATATCTCCACAATTGGCCAGGTGCAGTGGCTCATGCTTATAAATCCCAGCATTTTGGGAGGCTGAGGGGGGCAGATCGTTTCAGCCCAGGAGCCCAGGAGTTGGAAACCAGCCTGAGCAATACGTCAAAAACACGTCTCTCCAAAAAACAAAACAAAAACCACACACACACACACACACACACACACA